GCTGAGACACCGAGCCCGGCGGTGAATATTCTTGAAGATTGCTTTCCATCCAGAGCTGATTTTGCTCATTCCCAATCTCCTTTAGTGTAGTTGGAAACCCATTTCTTCTCACCTCCATGGAGAAAAACACTGAAAACCACACTCTGGAATTCATTTTAACACTGATTTATCACCTGTAAAGCAGTTTCAGGTCAAACTGTCGCTTAGCCAGAAAGAAATGCACAAGATGTCCCTTCTCCTCCCTCTCCACCCCACTACAATGAGATCAGTGCCAGTGTCCCTTCCTCAGCACCTGTGGTTCAGAGTTCTTCCTTGGAACTCTCAGACCTAGGCCTCAGCTTTCCATAAGCTTAAATGGAGGCATGAATTTAGAACAACTGTGTGCAATGCAATACTGACTGAATCTTTCCTCCCGATAAGGTGTTAGCTGCTTGGCTGCTGTGGCTCTGCGTCTTAGTGCCCCCCATTTGGCCTCTTTCCCATGCGCGTGTCTTACTTTCTTCCCCCTCAGGTTTGATCTCCAAAGATTACCGATCTCTAAAAACACAGTATTTGCAGGTAAGGCCTGGAGGATGTACCCTCGAGGGAACTAGATGGAGGGTGATTATTGGGCACTTTTGAAAGAGACATGGCCCTTCCTGTCCCCATCACTCTCCTGTGTCTCTTCTGGCCTCCCTCTTAGAGGTACTAGGGAGAGTCTCCATTCAGCATGCCACTCTGCCCCTGCACCCTCTCTTGGTGCCTGGCCAGTGTGAGAATTTAAACACTTCGGCTGTGGGACCTGGTGACGGGCTCTCACTCCCGAGGATCCCCTCAAGTAGCACCTAGTAAGGCCTTGATTCAGCTTTCCTTCTCATCCTTCTCATGTCCTATTCCACCAGGGAAGCCTCCCCCTCAGTGCTTACATCCATAGATTTCTCTATTCTCCTATCAGTCTTATGCTGCTTTTTGTTCTTGTTTATTTGGTATTTGATTATTTCTGTTTTTTCTTTGTTGTTGTTGTTTTTTGAGTCAGGACTCACTCTGTCGCCCAGGGAGGAGTGCGGTGGCACAATCATCCCTCATTGTAGCCTCCCAGTCCTGGGCTCAAGAGATTCTCCTAGCCGGGCTCGGTGGCTCAGCCTGTAATCCCGCGCCTTTGGGAGGCTGAAGTGAGTGGATTGCCTGAGCCCGTGGGTTCGAGACCCACC